GCAGCCCCCTCCACCCTTTGGGCCCATACACAAATGATGGGGATGCCCCGCCTCGTTTCAAAAAGACCTGCGTCGCACCAGAATCCCGCCGCACCTGGCGCTGGCACATGGCCGGTCACGTTCCCAACCACGGTTCTCACGGTTTGTACAAAACTATGGTCATCCTCGAGGGCCGACCCCGGGCGAGCAAATGTCATGCGCGGGGCGGCATACCGGAAATCAGGTGTCTTTGCAGCCACCTCTCCCAGAATACGATTCAGATCGTCCATGATCGACGACGGTGTCTGAGGCGGCACCGTCCGGAACTCAATGGTCAGGGTGCATTTTGCCGGGTAGCTTGACGGTTCCTCGCCGCCTACGAGCTTGCCGCCGTGGAGGTGCGCTTTTCCGAGAAGGGGGTGCGTGGGAAGCGTGCGACCATACTCCAGGAGAGCCGTTTGCAAACTGCCGGCCAGCAGGATCGCATCGATGCCGATGTGCGGCTCGGAGCCGTGCGCAGCCTTGCCCAGCACGTCTATCTCAACCCACACGAAGCCCCTGTGCGCCGTGACCATGGCTTGGCCGGTTGGTTCAAGGATGAGTGCTGCATCTGCCCTCCAGCCGGCGGCCAGGACGTCCTCTGTTCCCTTGGAGAAGTTTTCTTCGTCTGACACGGCGGCCAGGAGAATGTCGCCCCTGAGCTTCTCGGCACCCGACTTGGCGAGGGCTGCGAGGACTGCCATGGACGACGCGACGCCAGCCTTCATGTCCAAGGACCCTCTGCCATAGATGCGATTGTCTTGTAGGAGGCCACTGAGCGGATCCGTACCCTCGCCATAGGATGAAAGGCTCACAGTGTCAATGTGGCCGTTCAGCATGAGAGACTTGCCGCCTCCAGTGCCACGTAGGACACCCACAATGGACGGCCGCCCCGCAGTGCGCTCGACCCAGTGCGCCTCCAAATCGCGGTGTCGAAGCCATGAGAAGATGTATTCTGCGATGACGGTCTCGTCAGACCCAGCATCATTCGACAGATCGGGGTTTGCAGATGCGATCCTTGTGAGGATCTGGGTCAAGCCTGTCGCATCCTCGACCGCCACGTCCAAGGGCTTCTCGTGGTGGCGTGAGCTTTCGGTGTTGAGCACCACCACGACAGAGTCGGCGGTCAGCCAGCTGGGACGCTGGTCGCTTTCCGCCAGCCGATGCAAGCCTGCCAAGGTAGCGCCACCGCAAGGGCCGCTGTTGATGCCTCCCTCCTCGAGAACACGAGTGGCTTCATGGGCTTCATGGTCCGACACTGTCACGCAGGCGTCGACGCCCGATCTTAGGTCGTTGAAAGCCGTAAGCGATACCGTGCCGCAGTTGAGGCCCTCCATGATGGTCTTAGAGGTGGCCACGGACGCGATTTTGCCCTGCCTCAGACTCTCGTACAAGCAGGCGGCCGTGTCTGGCTCGACCGCTAGTACGCGATATGCCCGATCGCCTGACTTGCAGTGTCGAACGACAGCCTGCGCCAACGATCCAACGCCACAAGGGGTGACGACAAGGTTCGGCTTCAGGCCCTGCAAAGCAAGCTGGGCATCGACCTCTGCAACGAGAGTAGCGTAGCCCTCAACAATCCATTTCGGGATGTCGGTGTAGCCATCAAACGCGGCATCTTGGACGAAGAGTCCGCTGGGGTCGGTCTTGGATGCAGCATGGGCTTCTCTCATCGCGCCATCGTAATCCAGCTGGCTGACCACGACCTCGGCGCCCTCGGAAGCTATGTGTTCGGCTGCTGCGGGGCCGACAGCCTTGAACACATATACCTTGGACTGGATTCCTAGAAAACGAGCTGTGGCTGCCAACGCTCGGCCGTGATTCCCGGCGCTGGCGGTGTATAGGACAATCGAATTTTGCTGTGCACAGCGGGCGATGTCTTGGAAAGATGAGTTGAGGGGCAAGTCGAACTGGTCGATGATTGCCCGGCAGGTGCCCCAGGAGGCACCCAGAATCTTGAAGGAGGGGAGTCCGAGGCGATTGCTCTCGTCCTTGACGTACACGGCTTTGACGTCAAGTTTCTTCGCCAACGATTCCATCGAGACAAGAGGCGTGACGGCAAAGTCTGGCATCTGGCAGTGAAAGGAGCGTGGCAGTGAAACATCGTCGTGGACATTGATTGAAACAGCCCCCTTGTTGAACAGAAGAGACTTGCGTGACGACATTTTGAAAAAACCAGCGTACTTTTGGATGCTGTGCTGCTTGAATCGCCTGAAGTCGAGGACAAAAGCTGAATGCCAGGAGCAGTGCGGAAGAATTGGAAGGAGGTTCGAGCAAACTCGGGAGCTCTTGGAATGTAAAAATCGAAGATTGAAAGGAATAAATGTGGTCTGAAAGAAGAAAAGTCAATCTGATAGAAGGCGTATACTGCGTACAATGGATTAGAGGTCAAGTTCACAGAAGGCGTCATAAGTTCTCAGAAGGCGTCGGTGGAGATTCGGAGTACAGAGGCGTGAATGACAGAGCCTAGTCGCCAATTCAGGCTAGATCCGGCTGCGTCTCCCGATGTGTGGCCATCACTTGCGCTGACTTCAACCACCCACTTGAAGTCAGGCAAGTGGTCGTCTTTACCGCATGCGAGGGCTTTGGACATGAAACATCGCTCTTAGTTGCATTGCTAACTCGGCCTGCCGTATTCGATTCTGGATAGTGACATCGGATTTCTAGCGTCTTTATTATCTAGATACAATGTTACCAACAGTGTACTAATATGAACAAGTGCTTCTGGACAAAAATTGCAGATGAATCAGCTCAGATCACTGGGTGTGCACTCCAGAGATCGACTGCATGAAACGATGAACAAAGAATCGCTTTCCTTTCCAAAGTTCACGACGCGACCAGAGGCCAATCTTTGATTCATTCCGTTGATCTATACTCGCGTAAATGGCCTTAAGATCTAACTTGGTGTAAACCATAATAGAATTTTGTATAACCGATTTATTGTGTCTGACCTTGACAACCGGATGCCGAGGTAGCCTTGCAAATGCTACCGAAAGGCTGGAGTCAACAATGTCCAGGTGCAGAGACCAGGGCGCGCTTATTTGCAGCACACCACGCATGTTCGTAGTCCGCGCTGATAGGAAAGCCGAATCGGTTTTGTCAGCCCTGAAAGTCTAGCCAAGACCTTTCCCCGCTTCCAGAGCCTTCCTACGGGATTTGGTTCTGATAATATTGGATGACCGGTGAACGGTTGTGTAACACATTGTGGCGAACGTAGCAAGCATCCCAGAGGGCGAATTTCGACTAGCCTTCTGTTGATGGTGTGGGAATCCGGTGTTTGTATGGTCTGCTCCGCAGTGAAAATGATCCCGACATGCAGCTGACGTTTCAAGTGATACGACTCCTCCTCTTTCTGGTGAGTTGAGCCTCATTATATTGTCGTAAGGCAGGGAATGCCGGATCTCATTCTGTCAGGCTGTTCTGCGGCCCAATTACCATGATTAAGCTCTTGATTGATCTTCTCCCACTTCTCCAAATTTTATTGTCATCTCTCAGAATTGCCTTGTCTAAAAAATCAGAGTCTAAATGACCCACGCTGTCATGACATCTGCAGTAGTTGTCTCTGCCACCGATTCAACCATTTCGGTTGCCGAGAGAGCATCACCCGGACCATACTACTCATCAGGGCTTCGAGCACGCTTCAAGATCGATGCTGGGCGCCCAGTAGCTAGGGTGATGCATACTAGTCCACAAGCATATGCAAAGATTGGGTACGATGTTGACGAGGCGGCGTACTTGCAACGGTCGAAGATCCGGCATGCCACTGGAGGTCTAGCTACCACCTTGCCTGAAGGGTGGCCTGAGGCCTTGGATGGCCCTCTCGTTTGGAGCGCTGGGGACCTAATCCAAGAGCATGAGTATATGCATTTCCTCACAGCCAAGGACAAGCTGGAGATAGCGGATGCGCTCTGTGTCTTCAAAGGTTGGTTTTGATTCCTCCCTTCACATTCGTCATGCTACCACGATGATTCATGTAATGTGTATAGAGTACGGCCTTGATGGCAATGAGGTCTCCAGAGGAACATTTCCATTGCCCAGTCTTGGCCTCCGTCTCGACAAGATTTGCGCGGATATTTACGAGGGTCGAGGATTTGCCATTGTCCGTGGTCTAGATCCAGACGAGTACTCAGTCGAAGACCTGACCATAGTTTACCTTGGCATCTCGAGCTACATCGGTGAGCGGCGGGGGAAGCAAGACCAACGTGGCTCGATGTTGAGTACGTTCACCATCATATCTCATATTTGTTACAAAATAAGCCAAGGACAAGTCAAGCTCTTGAAATGGTACTGACGATTTATATCTTCAACAGTGCACGTTATAAAGCGGAACGATGAAGGTCGCGATGTTCAATATAGCGAGGACAAGGTTAGGATGTGCTCCACATATTATTTAAGGGCCTACACAAATTCCTAACCTGCTCACAAGCCCTTCCACACGGACACTGTCACGGACTGCGTCTGCTTGTTTACGCAAAGCCTCGCTAACGCAGGTGGACACAGTGTAATCGCGTCTTCTTGGACCGTTTACAATGAGCTCGCTGCGACTCGGCCCGACCTGATTGAAGTTCTGTCTGCCGCTGACTGGCCATTTGATACGTACGTTCAATTTGGCTAGCCCCTGCTCAGCATGGTACGGATCCCGCGTAGTCCTCTGACGTGTGACGATCTAGCTTCGGTCGAGATCCCAAATTCTACCGCCGCCCTTTGCTGTTCTATCACCATGGCAAGTTGATTATTTCCTTTTCGCGCCGCCTTCTGGTAGGGCACGAACCGTTCGATGCCCGCACCCCCGGCATCCCAGGCCTCACAGAAGCCCAGGCTGAGGCCTTAGACGCTGTCCATATCATCGCTCGTAAGCACGAGATGAAGCCACGCATGGAACGCGGCGATCTTCGCTTCATCAACAACATGAGCATCCTGCACCGCCGTGAGGCTTTTGAGAATACCGCCACTGCTTCCCGTCACCTTGTTCGAATCTGGCTCAACAATGAGATGATGTGCTGGAAACTCCCACGATCTCTACGTCTCGCTTGGGCGCGTGTTTTCGAGGATGATGAGCGGGAAGAACACTGGGATATCGTTCCACCCATGAAAGACGGCAAGGTTCTGCGTGTCGCTGGTACTTGCGACTGAGACGTCGCGAAATCTTTCCATTTCATTCTCTGTTTCTGTCAAACTTGGGTGCTGATGCCGTTCTGAGCCTCCACGGTCTTTTTTCTCAAGAGTTCGTTCGGGACACCGATTGTTAAAGCCACGAGTCGGGTTTCGTTCTAGACAATTGTCGTCGGCTACTATAGTCCTTCCATGGGTAGAGTAGCACACAATTTGTGGCTGAAATAACATGTTTGCTCCTTGATGTGTTCACCTTCGTTTCAGATTCGGTTGAGATATACTCAACTTATGTTAAAACTCACAACTGTTGCTCATTAACTGGATCATTGCTGTCAACTTGCTTTAGGATATGCCAAATAAGCAATCGAGTGGCGCCCAGATTGCCTTTTCCTTGCCCGCACCTTCGAACCTGTGTTCTGCCCATGATCTATCTGCCTCGAAAGCCGTCGGCCCAGGCGTCCATTTCTCTTCATACAGCTGTGAGACCCAGTAGAGCTCGTCATTGAGTCCAGAGTAGTCTTTCTGTTCGATCACCCTCTTTCGGACTGCATTGAGACTTGACACTTCTGGCTATTGAGTGAGCACGTTGGCAGGTAGAGATTAGAGGGTCCAAAGGGACGCGTACCGTGATTCTCCCCCCAGATAAAATATGAGGTTGTTGTAATGAACTGAATTTCCATTTGACCCAGCTTTGTCTGTGTTGCTAGCTCCTTGAGACCGGCTTCGTTGCGGCAGTGAAGAAACGGCAATCTTCCCTTATTGAGGTAATGAAAATGAGCAAGCATGACGTTGACACCAGTGTGATGTTTTTCTATACTTGTTGGATTGGCGTATGCTCTCTAACCCGACCAATCGTCAGCACGCGCATGCCTTTTTCTGTAGCTGGGGCAAAGCGTTACCGTGTCATTATACTGTCGCGCTGTCTCCCAGTCCCGTTTAGATATCAGTGAGCAGTTGTGGAGAAGGATGAACATCGTGAGGTATATCGTCAGCCAGTTCTCCCTCTTATTTTCGTTTACCAGCAGGGTCAGTTTCTGCAAGACTTCTTTATGTCTTGGTCGCAACACCTTCGTATACATGATGCATTCCATTTGGGCAATCATGATGACCGGCATGGGAACCACGTTGAAGAACATACTCGTTGGGTCATCGACAACCTGACCACCGAGTTTGTCGGACCCGAATATGTGATGAGGATTGCTGGTCTTACGACACGCTACCCAAAACCGGAAGGTCGCTCTTATCAGGTCTTTCTCTAGGTCCGTCTGTTCAAAAGAATCAGCAAAACAATAGAGGGGCGCGGAACGAGTTGACCCCTACTGGAGTACGTTCACCGACCTTTGCTTCT